TATAAAATTTGATATTTTAAGTTTGAAATGGATACTACAGCCTATGACAGAAAATTGTATGTGCAGGTCCACGTCTTCGTATAGCCCCCAATAACGGTTCTTCCCGATATTTGGCTAGCGTTATTCACCAATTTTTTTTTAAGTTTCGCATTTCAAAATTACAAAATTTGGCTATGCAGCTCCACGTCGTCGTATATTATATATTCGCTTTTAATAGAATTTTTAACGGATTTTTTTGAAAATTGCCAGATTCGTTCCAAATGGTGGAGGTTTTCAAAGTTCGGCCCGGCCGAACTTATAGCTTTTTTATATGTTTTTTAATAAATATTTTTAATTAGTGCTAAGTAATTCGAATATATTTGGGCTATCTGTAGCAGTATATATGTTTGCTTGTTGTCCATTACGTTTGCTGGTATTTAACTCAAATGTTTTTGCGGGCCACCAGAAACAACTGAGAATGCAACTCAGCTGTTTTTTTGGATTTGTTTAATTCGTTGATTTTGATGAGACAATGTCAAGTTTAAATGTACTTTTGCTACATTTGTTGTATTACTTATTACTTTTATGTGATTTAGGAAATTATGCAAGTTGAACCAAAATAAAGATTAAACTCTGGAGTCTGAATTATCTCTTTTTGACCAAAACCAAGCTGATATAATTATAATTGTATTAATTATTAAAATTTTATCTGATTTTTAACTAAATAGATATATACAAGATCCGATAGAACATTTTTGATAATTCTTGAAAGTTATTCAATCAAAGTTTTTCTTAAAAGTGGGAACAGTTGAGGTAACTTTTTAATATTGGAATACTCCCAGATTTCAGTCCTCATAAAGTCTCTCGCCCAGATTCCTTTTATATTTGGAATTCGAAAAATGTTTGGTCACTGAAATATGATAAAATCATTTTCCACCAAAACAAGCTTCAAATCCCTTTATCCCATTTCAATAGTTTTTATCCTTTTCAACAAATTCGTTCAGAATATTTTTCAATTGTACAATTTTTCCACTAAACAATAACAATGAAATTAAATATTTTTTTTTGTTGAGCAACGTAAATGAATAGCATGTTTATAGGCGCCAGCACAAGGTAAAAACTAAAATGAAATACTACTGTCAGCTACAAAATAAAAAAACAACAACAACTACCACTATAACCACAAGCTACAGCACTTTTGTAAATTACATGGTTTTTAATTAAGAAACGTGTTATAAAATGCTGTGAAAAAAATCTGAAATAAAATAATCACTGGTTCGTCCAAAACGTCAGCAACACCGTGCATGATGGGATGTGAACAGTAGCTTGCAGATCCGTAAAGAGAAAATCTTTAACAATAGTCTATTTTTTCGTTGTGTTGGAAATTTTTTTATTGTTATTTTTGAATTTTCTGATGGGTTCTATTGTTTTTGTTTACCCCACACAGGTAGGGATAAACGAATAGATGAGTCGTTTGTATGAAGTCACTTTCAATTAAAGGCAAATGCAATTCATTTCTTATTTTCTCTCACTTAAACTGAAACAAAATTTTGAATGCTAAAAAGAAAAGGAAGTTTTTAAAGTGTATGATCTTTTTTTAAGGATATATACATGTTGAGATGAAAAAACTACAACCAACTTCAGAATGCTATAATTTCTAAGCAATTCGTCCGATAGCTGTTAAAATTATTCCAGTGACAGCTCATTATATTGTTTACAAGAGTACAAAAGCATTTTGGTGAGAATTTTCCAGAAATTCAAGCGTGATAGTGTGATTTCTGTATATTTGGCTGGAAAACCACAAGTGGTTATCGTTAGAGCACTCCAGCATTTAAATGTGAATAAATCTTTTGTGTCTCGGACCATCGCTCGTTACCGTGATACTGGTAGCGTAGCTCGACGTTAAGAAAGTGGACGGAAGAAAACAGCAACATCAGCAGAAATTATTCGAAAAGTAAAGAAACGACTAGAACGAAACCCGCGTGGCAGTGGCCAAAAAATGACTCGTGAGCTGAACATATCGCAATATTCCATTCGGCAAATATTAAAAAATGAGCTCGGGGTAAAGTCATTGAAATTCCAAAAAGTGCAAGAAAATAGACTCAAAAGATCTAACGAGTTGCTTCGCTTGGCCAAATGTGGTAAACTGCCGAATTTGGTTTTCTCCGTATATACTTCGAAGACATTATTAGGTCACCATGTTTAGAAGACTTTCTCTAGGCCTTTCATAAATATAAGTCCTTTGATAAGTCATCGGTATGTAGGAGGTCTTCTGTAGGTCGTATGGATATAGAACGCTATTCATGGACTTATCATAATAAGATTTTATACATACATAGGTCTTCTATAGAGAAAGTCTTTTGGTTGGCCTTCTTCGTGTAGAACACCTTCGTTTATTTCCGATGCATAGAAGACCATCTGTAGGTCTTCAGAATATAGAACCCCTTTGATAACGTTTTCTCCTTTACAAAATAGTTCCCAATACATTTTTTATGAAACTCTATTTGTTTTCCTTCTCACTTCTCAAGTGCATTCCCTCAAAACATTAACTTTGATTACTCTACTCAAATCTAATTTTTCTTATATTAAAAAAATATATATTTTTTAGCACCTGTTTCGACAAGAGAATTGCCCCTTTAAAATCAGTGGGATGTCATTCTTCACAGCTGATCAATTTTTTTCTCAAACAATTTGTATTTTAAGATGATATTGTTTAAACTCAGTGCTGTCTGGGAATATTTCATTCCATTTCTATTGGGCAAATCTGAACTACAACATTGTTGTGAAGACAATACCTTTGATTGTTTTGTGAGTATTTTGAACTGAGATTGATGTAAATTGTCTAAAAATGTCAGAGAAGCTAAAATTATTCAGAATTTTGAGTTTGAGTAAAACCAAAATAATTATTTATGAATTGCTAATTAAATTCTTTTGAAAAGAGTAATAACCGGTAGCGGCAGGCGTTTGAATTATGTGGAACAGTAAACTTGAAAAAAATTGATTAGAATTTGCCACACGTTTTGTGAGACAGCATGTGTTCAACGCTAAAAGTATCCCAAATAGCTAATTTAGACTGGAGAAAGCTATAAAATCCGGCTCTATCGATTGTAAGAACTATGATCACCTTAACACAAAAAATATTAATTGATAAAAATATTGAAAGTGTATCCAGGTTTTACGAATAGCCTTCATATAAAGTTGTTGAAATTAAATAATTAAATACTCTACAGACTCAGAAAAAACAGTAAAGAAAGTCTTAAAGTCGGGCGGGGCCGTCTTTATGATACCCAACACCACTTTGCTAATTTAGTAGAGCTCCACATAACAATTAAAAGTTTTTATGGGAGAATTCAATCATACACGCTATGATTATAATTATAATTTAAAGTTTAAAGGACTAAATATGCCGAAGCATTTGTATCTTTTAAATTAGGACTTGTATTGCCCATTTGGCGCACAATTAATTTGGAATCGGATAAAGATATATATGGGAGCTATATCCAAATCGGAACCGATCTCGATAAAATTTGGCAAAGATATTTCTGAGCTGTATTTGAATATCGTTGTTACGGAGTGCATATTACGGCTGTGGGTAACAAATATAACAAATCGGATGAACAATATATATGGGAGCTATAGCTGAGCCGATCTTCACTTAATATGACATACAAGCTTCTAGACTCAATTCGGTAGTAAGTGCCAGATTCCATCCCATTTGGGCAAATATTAGACGTTTGGTGCACAATAAAAGGTAAATCGGACGAAGTTATGTATGGGAGATAGATACAAATCCGAACCGATCTCCGATCGATAAAATTTTTAAAATGTATTTCTGAGCTGTATTTGTTGTTACAGAGTGCATATTACGGATGCAGAGGACAAAAATAACAAATCGGATGAGCAATATATATGGGAGCTATAGCTTTATCTGAACCGATTTCGATCAAATTTGGCATACTTTTTTCAGGCCTAATTTGGGTGTATATGCAAAATTCCATACAATTCGGGCTGATATTACACGTTTTGGTGCACAATAAAAGGCAAATCGGACGAAGATATATATGGGAGCTATATCTATATTTTGACCGATTATCTCCAATTTCAATAGGGTTCGTCCTTGGGCCAAACAAATGATTTGTGCAAAATTTCACCTGGATAGGGCAATAAATGCGAACTGTACTTTGTTTTCAAAAATACATGGACAGATGGACGGACATGCATAAATCGACTCAGAATGTGATTCTATGCAGATCATCAAATGGAACTAAGTGTCGATCTCGTTTCCTTTTGCCTGTTACAAACAAATGCACAAAGACAAACAAAGGCCAAGAATTACGTTTCAACGTAAATGCAAATAACTTATTTATTTTCGATAAGACATACGCATTGCATTTCCTGTCTAATGACAACGAAAAAATTCAATGGAAAATATTTCGAAAAGCGTTGTGGTGTAGGGTATAAACAGTAAAATGCGTTGATTTTTAAAACTAGAGCATATATAAGTATTAAATACACAAATTCATCGTCTATGTATGCTTCTTACTAATCTTTTAGGATTACATTCCGTTATTTTTCCCATTCCGTTGACAATGCATTCTTAAGCGATTTATTCATGACTGATGTGTTCCATGAGTCTAGGCACTTCATTATTTTTTATAATGATATATGTTACTTTGCTCCTTGGCCAAATAGGATGTGTGATTAGGCCTAATTGCTTCAGATTGTTTTGTAAAATTTTCAAATATAAATAGTTTTTCCATTGTATTTTCCATAAATACAATACACGATACACCGTGTTTTACTATTATAATTGGGTTTTCTATATTCCCATACTCGATTTAAGTCCCAAAATAAATTTGGCTTTTCCAAATATTTTTTTTGTAAAACTGAAATTTATCTCTTTGCTGACATCGTGGAAATTCTGACACTAAAACCAGGCAGTACTCCATTCGCCTGTTATCTGTTAATTTTTCCCGAGTTCGATAATTATAAATGTGGCTTTTCTATTTTTGTATTTATAGACAATGGTCGCCTCAAATGAGCCGTCGAAGGCTCAGGACCAGATTTGCGCAACAGAAACGCCCACACCATTAACATGGCGAGAAAAAATGCAAAAGGTAATCAAAAATATAACAGTGGAACCCATTGTGGCAGCCTATATTATGCCAAGCGTGTTATCCAATTTGGCAACGCAAAATTTGAATTTAGAAAAGGCGTGTCGGGTCAACATGAACTACGGCGACGAGGTGTGTGATGCCCTGACAAGAAGAGAAACAACAAATTATACGATGTAAGTAAACCCGTTTTCGGTGCTCATTTTATTTCAAAAATGAAAACATGCTCTTGACTTTGCAGGGAAGAAGAAACCATTCAAAAAATGGTTGCCCATATGGTGGCCTGGAAAACTGTGATACAATCCCTGTTCCCGTGTCTGTTAATTCTTTTCTGGGGTTCATGGAGCGATCGTCATCATCGTCGGAAACCCTGTATCCTTATACCGATTGTGGGTGAATTTTTGGGAACCGTAGGTCTCATATTGTGTGTTTATTTCAAAGAGACGCCAATGGAGGTGGCGGGTTTGACAGAGGCCATATTTCCATCGCTGAGTGGTGGCTGGTTTGTCATGCTAATGGGTGTGTTTAGTTATATTGCCGATATAACAACGGAAGAGGAACGTACGCTGCGTATTGGTATATTGAATGTATGTTTTTCGGTTGGTGTGCCAATTGGAACAGCTCTCAGCGGAGTACTATTGAAGTGAGTTGGGGAGGTTATAATGACATTGTACTTACTAATAATAATTTGTTTCAGGAAAATTGGCTTCTATGGTGTTTTCTCCATTTCGGCTAGTTTATATGTGGTCTCGTTGTTTTATGGTTTCTTCTTTTTACCCGAGCCCCGCCCACGTTGCATACAACCTGAAAGTAAACATAAACCGAGAAACCTCTTGGCTGATTTCTTCGATAAAGAACATGTGGTTGAGACCTTCCGTGTAGCGTTTAAGAAAGGCGAAAACAAGAGAAGGGCCCGTGTTATTTTACTAATGATTGTTGTTATGGTTGTCATTGGACCAATTTATGGTAAGTTTTTGGAGATAGGATTTTTGAGGATTTTCAGTGAAAAAAATTTTGCATGTTTTAGGTGAAATGAATGTCATGTACCTGTTCACCCGTTATCGTTTCAATTGGAATGAAGTTGATTTTAGTGTTTTCAACACGTTTGCTGTTGTAACTGGTCTTGTAGGTAAGTGAATTGTAGAATAAACAAGTTTATATCCACGTAAGCGACCCACTGTATATATTCTTGTTAGACTTTTCGTTTAGATTGTTTATGGAATCTCCTATCAGAGATGCTTCTAGCTTCAATTCTTTTCTATCTTTTGAACTGTTATCTCTCTTGTCCCTTTGTCCAGAATTTAAATGCGCTCCTGTCCAATATAAATATTTAACAAATCAGAAGGCGATGGATCCACTGTAAAATGCGTTCCATCTATCTTAGTGATCCAGTCGAAATAAGCTTTTCACTTTCATTTATTGCACATTAAAAATTAGTTATTTGAAAAATTGTAAGGAAATTCAAGTACTTTTTTCTTTATTGAATCGCTTTATATTAACTTGCTGAACCCGGTGCGCTTCGCTACCCCTTTTGATTTTATATGCATTCAAAATTTTAGAAAAGCAGTAACATGACATACGTACACGAAGGGTTTGTCCTTCGGATTTATTTATTTCATAGCAAATACCAAGTGTACAGTAAACTGCAATCTTTTGAAGTTGAGTGGCATTTCTATTGCAATTAGTGAATTCGAGATAGCAACATACTTCGAAACATACTTGTTGTGTTGTTTTTTAGTGTTAGCCTAAGGCGTTGTGGGTCACTGGTTCTTATTAAAATCATATCCCAATCTGATCCGATTTAAATAAAATTTTAAAAAAATTACTTTTACACCAAATTCCGCCACACCTTTCATATTTCATTGAAATTGGTGCGTCAAATATGTGAAATCGGCCGATAGTATATATATGGGAGCTATATCCAAATCTTAACTAATTTCCAATTAATTTGTCACATTTATTATTGTAACCAAATTCCGCACACATTCTGAATTTCATTGGTATCGGTCATATATATCATGTTTGGTGCATAACATGTGTGAAATCGCCGAAATATATATGTTAGATATATCCAAACCTCAACTGATTTTAATATAATTTGGCAATTTTTTCTGGTGCCAGATTTTGTCTCTCTCGCTTTGGGTGCATCAAATATGTGAAATCGGCTGAGTATATATATGGGAGCTATAATCGAATCTGAGCGTATTGAATATAATTTGTCAAATTTATTTTTGTACCAAATTTAGCCACTCATGCCGAATTTCATTGGAATCGGAAATACGTATCGTGATTTGTGCATCAAATATGCGAAATAGGCGGAAAATATATATGGGAGCTATATCTAAATCTGAGCCGATTTTAATATAATTTGACTAATTTATTTTCTAATCAAAATCCCGTTACATATTCCAAATTTCTTTGGAATAGAACATACATATCGTGTATGGTGCATAAAATACATGAAATCGGTCGAAAATATATATGAGAGCTATATCCAAATCTGAACCGATTTTAATATAATTTAACAAATGTATATTTGTTTTAATTTCCGCTACACATTCCAAATTTCTTTGAAATTAGAGATACATATCGTGCTTGGTCCACCAAATACATGAAATCGGCCGAAAATGTATATGGGAGCTATATCCAAATCTGAACCGATTTCAATATAATTTGAAAAAATTATTTCCGGATTAAATCCCTTCACACATTCCAAATTTCATTGGAATCGAACATTCATATTGTGTTTGAGGCATCAAATGAACGAAATCGGTCGAAAATATATATGGGAGCTATATCCAAATCTGAACCGATTACAATATAATTTGGCAAACTTATTTTTGTTCCAAATTCCGTTACGTATTCCAAATTTGGAGACTGTATCTTCAACCAATCAATAGATATGTGCATATAAAATCTGAATTTTTGGGAGGTACCTCCGATTCTGATGCTATATCTCCAGTTCCAAGTGGAAATTCAAAAATGTATATAGCTTATGTTACTTTCAGGCGATGTTGCAGTATATATGGAAATTTTCAGGAAAATCTATTGAGCGGTTTTCGAGTCCATAAATTACAAACAAACAAACATACAAACATTTTCCTCTTTTATAGATATAGATTTTATATAATATATTTCATTATTTGGTGTGAAAATTATGGGCAAGGCGAATGGGTTTTCGACAAGGGAACCTTCGGGCTATAATTGTCCAAGTGAAAAACATTAGTTTTAATTTTACTATTCACTGTTTGTCGCTGATCAAGCTTAGTTTCCCCTATTTCCATGAAATACATTTGAAGAAATATTTTTGTGCGTCCTCTAACGGTAGAAAATAGTCAATGATGATTTTGACATTGGATAGGGACAGTCGAGGACAATATTCATATGAATCAAGAATTTAGATTTTGATTTGATTTTTTTTAATGTTGGTATGAATCCGTTTTCTTAAAAATTTCGCATCCAAACGAAGTCATTTGAAAACACGTGTTGTATTGGTGAGTGTTGGAAAGAAAATGACATGACATCGGTGGTACACGAAGCATGGTTTTCGTGGTGTGAACAATTGTCGTAATTTTACGCTTATACCATTAAATTTCAATCCTATAGGGTCTCAAGTGAATTTTGAAGTACTTGGATGGACGCTACAGTCTACTGAATATTAGTTATAAAATGCTTTACAATCAAACCACCGTTCGAAACATGTATTCTTATGCCTTGTCATTTTGTCGATTTTGAGACGGTTAGTTAATTCGATTCACCTCTTTTTCCGTCTGTTCGGGTTGCACATACTTACTTGCCTGATCATACTTATACTGCGCTGTTGTCGAGAAGTTTATTAATCATCCATATTCAATTGAAATGTTATGATCCATTTTTTTAAAGATAGAATTTTTTCAGATATTTGATAGATTCTATGAAATATGGCGATATTTGAAAGATCTGTTTCGGTTCTAAAAACTTTGTTCTTTCTCTCTTGCAGGTGTCCTTTTCTGTGTTGGCATACTTTCGCATAAGCTGAAGCTTGATGATGCTCTCATTGGAGTGCTTTCAAGTACATCGAAGATCTTGTCGGGATTTGTTTATGCCTTTGCCACCTTACCATGGCATATGTATGTGGGAGCTATTGTGGAAATATTCAATGGAACTTCATTCATAGCAATGCGTTCAATGGCCACCAAATTGGTGTCCAAAGATGAACTGGGTAAGGTGAATTCTCTGTTTGGTGTTGCTGAAGCTCTTATGCCGGTGGTGTATGCTCCCATGTATAGCACCCTATATGCGGCGACAATTAAGGTATTCCCAGGAGCTTTCTATATACTCGGCGGTGCAATCACCATATTGGCTGTGATAATATTTTTGTAAGTATTAAAGAATGGAAATATAACTGAACATTTATAAATAATTATGTGTTTGTGTATACAGATGGATGTTCAACTTCCAACGCCAACAGCTGCGCAAACAAAAATCCCTGGACACCGCCGAGGCTTGTAAGCTTCCAGCGAATAGCAAAGATCCTAATGGTAATATTAGTACCATTGATGCCATTGCCTTGGCCTCGGAGGCCAAGGGTCATTTGAATGGCATAGTTAGCAATGTTTTGCACGAACATATCTGTGATCACAGTTGTCTAACCGAGGGCAGCACCTGTCAAAACGGTGGCGTGGACAATAAGGCATTTATGCCCGATGTTGTGGAGAGTGCCGCCGATGCCAAGTCGGAAAATAATACGCATTTATAAATAAGCAAACAAAACAAAATTAGCCAATAGTGTATTCTTAGTATATAAACAAAAAATTACAACATTTTTAACGACACAAGTTCACGAGTCCAATAATGAAAAAATGAGTGATATAAGTATTGTTTATATATACATTCGTTTATATATAAATATTCCGGGTATTGCTGTGCTTTATAACACAATGTGATTTGAATATAAAATAATGTTTTTTTCCTAATTTTAATTAAAAATTGTATGAACGCATCTATAGAGAATAAGAACATTACTTTTGTGTAGAGAACAGGTTCGTATTTTTTGTAATAAATTCCAATATTTTCCAAAGTCACTTCTCTAAAGCAGCTATTTTTCGCTGAACCCCTAATGTTTTATGTCCCATTATTGTTTATGTTTAATATTTTAGGTTAGGAATTGTTAAATCACGTCTCTACGTTATACATAAATAAAATAAATTCTAAGAAATCGATCTAAAGAAATAAAAATTGTAATTAAACATATAAAAAAACTAAATTATGAATTATTCATCAACGGTCAGCCAATAACCTTTCAGTTAGCACAAGCCTTAAAAATGCTTAAATCGGCTGGCTGTTAAATCATTCTTGGACCTATACGACCCATTTACAGTACAAAAAGTTCATATGGACCTGAAATAATTGTGAGTTAATTTTTTCCACCAGCAGCCGGAGCAATCTAAGCTAAAGACAAAATGCTTCATATCTTTCTAACTACAGAACTGTTATTCAAGTTTGTTACGTACAATTAAAAGAATTGAATTTTGAATTACTTAATTAGTCTAACAACAAATCTATGGGAAAGAGTATTTTTCAATAACATTCTCATTGGAGTCTCTCTATTCTCAATTCGTGGATTCGCGTTCTTAATGTTTATGTTTTATTTGATACAAACAGTGTTGCCATTAGTTCTCAATTTTAAAACATGATGACTTTTGAAAAAATCAGTACTGGCAACACTGTATTATACAAACAAATGTTGAGCAATAACACCAGCTATGCTCTTTCCCCATTGCTAAGAGAATAAGTTGATAAAATATAAGAAGTGAAAATTGTGTGAAAAAATAAAAATCTTCTCTTTTTTATACATAGAATATCCAGTAGTTTCCGTCAAATAGTTTGATTGAAATGAAGAAATTTTACGTGATATTTATGAGGTGAAATATTTAAAAGTTTATGAGACGTGTTTCATACTGAGTTACAAACAATAAATGGTCACATGCTGGCGTTAAAACAAATATGTATATAATCAGTGGGAATCTGTGAGAAGTGACGTTTTAATTGGCCTCTCAAAATAATGGGAAATGTTAGAAGAAAAATTTTGAAAGAGGTGGCGTCTTAAAAAGCTGTGAAATAAATAAGAAAAATAAATTTTAATTTAAAAAAAAACTTGAAATTGTGTATTTTTAATTAGGGAAAATCGCGTAAAATGTTACAATTTAAAGTTAAAATTCCATATAAAAATTAGAATGCCCAAGTGCCATTAAGTAGGAAGACCAATATACACAGCAGAATAGAAATCTATAACGAAGATAAAACGATGAAATTATAAACAATACCGTAAAAATGTGTCTTATATCATGAAAACACAGAGTCTTCGGAGTAGAGCTAACCAGACAATTTTTTGCCAGTGGAATTGAAACCTGTTAAAAACTCCACATATGGAAAATGTGACAATATCCATCAAAATACCGAATATCTATGCGAAAATTCTGACTTATTTACAAAAGCTTCTGCCAGAGGGATAAGTACAGGATGAGATAAAAAAACTGCTACAAAGCCAACGCCATAATTTTTACATTTTTTTTATTGAATAAAGCAAAAATGTCGGAAATAGCATAGCATTTTAGAATAAGCTTAGATTTGTTCGAATTGGCCACCTTTGGCACGAATTATTGCCTTCAAATGGCCAATGAAACCGTCACACTCTGCCTGAAAGTTGCTCTGCGGTATTTTGGCCCATTCCTGGCGAAGCGCTTGCTTGAGGTGATCAACACTTTGGTATTTTTTAGTGCCAACCTTGCTTCCTAAAATACTACAGAGACAATAGTATCCGGAGATTTTGGTGGCCATTGCGAGCTGGAAATGAAGCGAGGAACATCATTTAGTAACCATTTTTGGGTGGCGCGTGTTGAGTGCGATGGTGCTGAGTCCTGTTGGAATGTCCAAGGTCTGCGGCCAAAATGTTTGCGTGCCCAAGGCTTTAATACACCCTCCAGAATATTTTCGCGATAATATTCGGCATTTATTCTGATGCCACGGTGGATTAATAAAAGCGGAGAGCGACCATCGGTTGTTATGTCGGTCCACACCATCACCATGACCGACGCTTGAGTTCTGATGGCCACCCGAAGGTGCACATTTTCAGTTGACCTCTTTGGCAAGTAAACACGATCATTTTCTCGGCCGATCGCCTTGGTCGACTTTTATATGGCCTCTTCGGATTAGAAGTCGAAATTTTTTCGTATAAACGCTTCATGATGTTCTTAGAAGGCGCACTTCTCACATTTTTTAATGTTTGAAAAGCACGTTGAGTTTTCACAATTGACTTGAATGTAAATTTCAAAAATTTCAGAGCGCTCGCGTGGCGTGTATTGGTTCATGGTAAAAATCTGCTTGGACTGACGCTTCAAACGCAGTATGTCATTAAGCGATGTGACATGTCTGTCAAAAGTTATGGCGTTGCCAGATGGGTCCGTCGAATATGGGCAACCCTGTACGATTTAAACAATGTAATGAGATGTCACTGGAATAATTTTAACAGCTGTCGGACGATTGACATAGAAATTACAGCAGTCTGAATTTGGTTGCAGTTTTTTCATTAAGTTCCTGTATATATCAAGAGTTTAATTTATCGACTTTCATAGAAAATTATGGCTAAAATCATTGAAATGCCTTATATAGGGAGGAATCGGTATTGGGGGATATATATGTGAAATAGATTTTCTGCTAGGGAAATTAATTTTGGTTTTGAACTTCACATATCGTATTCCAGACCATTTTTTGAAAAAAAAAAAAAATACGAATCATTAACGCTTTGCTCATAATTGTTGTCATGCCTAATTCACTGAAGAAATATTTTTTGTTTTCATGGAGTTATATCCGAATTTTAAACTATTACATTATAAAGTGTGGCTAAAACCGTCAAAATACCGAATATGGGGGGCTATACGAAAACGTTGACCTATATATCTCATCTTAAAACTTGACCTGACTGGAGACAAAATACAACTCTATGCAAAATTTTAGCTTCCTTTTACATGACGTATGAACTCTAGCGTGACCAAAACAGACGGACGGACATGGCTAAATTGACTTAGAATTTTACACTGATCAAGAATATATATAGTTCGATCAGTTACAAATTATAAAAATTTATAACTTTAATTTGGGATATATAAGATATTTCCCACTTACAATCCAAATTGTGAAAAATTGTCCATTTTATACAGTGGGGGAGTGACCAAAGGAGTTTAAATTTGAACATCGTATCAGGCCTGTTCTTCAAAAGAGGTCGAAAAATTGACAGTTATTTTTGTACTAGTTTGCAGATTTCGTCATGCAATCAGTTGCAACTCTTCTTCTTTTTTTGAGTATCCGGTGATTTGTGTTTTTTTTGCAGAACGTAATTGTAAAATCAGAATATATTGCTTTTTGACTTTTTAATGAAAAAAAAAAAACAGTTTTTTTTTGTGGCGGAAAATTGTTTTGTTTTTGTAAATTAGCTGATTGTTTCGAGTTTTTGTAGGGTTTTCATCTGTTTACTTATCATAATTTTCTTGCAAAAGAAAATAAAACAACCTTAGTCCCTCAAAAAGTAGTTGCTGGGCAATTCCCGCAGGAAAAGTATGAGGGCAGAACTATGTGGATTAGTATTTATAGTCTAAAGCTGTAGTTATGTCTGTAATTTAAAATGATTAATGCGTTATTTACTTTTTGCAAATGTAATTTATATCATTTATTTAAACTCTGTAAATTAAAGAATTATCCTTTAACAGCTCCAAATCAGTTACAACGCCGCCCAAGCAGCAGTCGTGGCCGAGTGGTTAAGGCGTCTGACTCGAAATCAGATTCCCTCTGGGAGCGTAGGTTCGAATCCTACCGGCTGCGGAACATTGTATTTTTTGCGGTCGATTCACTTTGATTTTTTGTAAAATATATAGAGATTAAAAAATAGAATTAATAATACAACAGCAACAAGTATACAACAATATTTAGATAAGAGATCAATTTCCTTAGAATTAACAAATGGCAGGAGCTCAATTATTGGTGCTTTCTAATGTGAAATGCACATGTATAAAGCTATATACAAAATATTGAAAACCCTTACATTCTACAATTTTATTGTGTGAAAACGATTTGTATTTTAAGTCATCCGTTTTTTCGGGTTTTGATAAAAATCCTTTATCTTGATCAATTTTTATACCCTACACCATACTATGGAGGGTATATTAACTTTGTCATTCCGCTCGAAATACTCATGTCAGACCCAACAAAGTATATATATTCTTGATCAGCGTAAAATTCCAATTCAAATTAGCCATGTTTTGTTTCAGACGCCTATTTGAAGTCCGTAATGGATGCTGCAGCCTATGGCAGAAAATTGTCTATGCTGGTGCAGGTCTTCGCACAGCTCCGATATAATGCTACCTCCCTATATACGATATTTTGATGATTTTAGCTACATTATTCACCGTTTACTTCAAGTTTCGAATTTGAATATGGTAATGACTTATGACAAACAATGAACATGTAGGTCCACGTCGTATAGACACCAATATTACGGCTATATTCGGTATTTTTAAAATTTTAATAGAATTTTTTAAGGATTTTATTTCCAAATTCGTTCCAAATGGTGGAGGGTATTCAAAGTTCAAACCTACTGCTTTTTGACTTGTTTAATTTATTGTTTTATTTTTCCAATATTCCACAATGGTTAATTGATTCACCGGGGGGATATTGAATATGTCAAAATTTCTTGTTTAATTGTTCTTACAAACAAACCGGCGGAGATATTTTACTATTTTCAGTAGCAGATATTCTCCAGATTGTGCAATTAATAATTTAGAAGTGTTGCAAAAAAATTAATCTAACAAAACAGTGTCAACTAGCTCAAATTATTATATTATTTCAAAAACAAATATGTTATGTCCATTTCAGATATTTTTTATTTTTATTCTTTACCTTGAATATTATTAAGAAGTAATAGATAGATAACAAAGTCGGCGCCTAAAAATAGACTTTAAACTGCATAGTAACTATCTTCATAAAAACACAGTCATCGCTCACTTGTTAGCAGTAGTAATTTATGGCAACTATTCGACCCCAATAACATGCCCCAACAACAGTAATAAAATGCCTCCACATTCCCACAGCTTGTTGCATTCTATTAACATAGCATTCAATTTTCAAGAGCTCTGTTATTTAACAGAATACAACGTTTCTTTAAATAACATTGTGTGGGAATAGTGTTGATTTTATGTTAAGAAACATGCTACTGTTATTACGATTTAGACATGCGCCAAATACAAGCAGTCGTGGCCGAGTGGTTAAGGCGTCTGACTCGAAATCAGATTCCCTCTGGGAGCGTAGGTTCGAATCCTACCGGCTGCGTAAAATCGAAAGTGAACAAGTAATTGTTAATTCAACTTTTTATTATTCATGAAGTAGTTTAAATAATTTCTGGTCGTTGATTATTTTACAAAGTTTTATTTCATTAGTCATGACTGCGATTGATCTTAAATTCACTGCCACATACGAGAGGGTTTGTGAATTTTTAGAATGCTTTATGACATAATGTGATTTGATATTATAAATTAAAACTGAGATAACACATATCATTTTTTGTACCTTACAGACAGCGTTATTATCTAGACAATTAAAAAAGATTGCAAATCTA